GTCCAATTTTTAGTCTGGATAATTTTCGCTAGAGCTGAGAGTCTAGTCTCTGCTATTGGTTGTTTCAAGTTCCTTACAACGATGTCCTGTAATTGGTCACCTCGAATCCACATGTTCTGGATTGGAAAAGTAGATGGGCAGTTGCGAATCCGTTTATCAATAGTTTACAGTAGGGGGCAATGGTCTAAAGTGTTCCGATTCAAGTGTTGAACACGAATGATAGAGCAAAGATCCATGGCGAAGGAGTTACCACTTATGCCCATTTTGCACGAGTGTATAGCCTTCATAATTTGCATTTTCTAGGTTACAATACCTTAGAACTTCTGGAAAAAAAAATCATCGACGAATCTTTCTTGGTTGATGAAAGAGCACATTAAAATCACCCCGGACAAAAACCAAAGTTCCACCTTTTCATGCATGGTTGATTACTTGATTTTGCACATACTACAGTAAATTGGAAAGAGTCAGGGCTAATGGAGTTTGTATCTCGACAAAGTCCTTATTTGAGTCCCATTTTTTAAGTACACAGTTTGTCAGAATGAATTTTTTTTATTTTTTTGGAAAAATGTGTAATTAGAATGTAGGGAAAAATTTTTTTAATTACTTGCAAAATTATTTTATTGAGAGAATGTGAAAATTGAAGAATATGTTTAATTGTTGGACAAAACGCAAAATATGATCACATGTTTAGGAATTACACAGAACAAATAGGAAATTAAGAGGAAAAAGTATTAATAACTCAAAAATGCTGCGTGTACAGAATTTCCTTTGCCAGAAAGCTTACAGATACTCACATGAGAGGTGGGTCCCATGTGAATTAAATATTATTTAAAAAAATGGGGCCCATCCCATGTGTGTATCTGGAAGCTTTCTGGTTTTTATTTCTTCTGTAAGTGTAGAATTGTTCTAAATAACTAGTCATGTATAAACTAATCATTGCCTCATCCTCTCTGAAACAAGTTACATTGTTTTTCATCCATTATGTAAAACTCTATACTTGAACTTCAATTTCTTATATAACCAAGCATCATTTTAACGAGTAAATATATGATTTCGATATTCTCACGAAGTAGAACATTGATCTATTTTGATCTTCCAAAACAAAGAACCAAGCCCTACGCAAAACAATGTTAAAACAACACAATTTTCCAAAAAAAAAGAACGCAGTCCTAACTAAATTAATCGTGCATATTAAATCTTAAAATAATTCAAATTACACGTCAAGTACCATACAAAAATACCTCAAAAAGAATTTTGGAATGTTACAAATTGTGTCAAACTAGAGTAGGTTCCCCACAGAAGTGTCAAATCTAGCCTAGATTTAACATGCGCATTCAAATCCACACGAAAGAACACTAAAAACTTAATTGATCCAACACCAAATCTTCAAAATCTTTTAGACCCCCAAGAATTATGTGAGATCCTTTACAGTACTCTAAATCGATGGCTCATCTTCCCAAAGTGTTTTACCTAAAGTTTCGATACCACTAATACAAAAATCTCATGTGAAGTATAGAATAAAGTACACAACAACTCTACATATCATTATAGCATTTAAAAGTATAATTAGCACCAACATGTACACAATTTTAGGGCTCAGATTTTGGGCCCTGTATCTCACACGTTCAACCCTAATGACAAACCCATATCTTTAGCACATAAAGTTTGTAACTTACAAAAGTAGAGAAACACGATTTCCTCTCAAACACTAGGGCAACAGATTGACCTTAAAATCATTGACCATGCTTCTAATCTAATGATCTAGATTGCTCTAAATACACTGAAGTTGCTACTGAGTGGCAATCCAAGTAAAACGTGT